CACATAGTATGGATTCCCGAGTTAAATTTGTGTTGGAGGATTTGATGTACCAGAATATTTTCTTATTTATTAATGAAATTTATTCCAAGGTTTTATTAATGGATTATCATTTTAGTTTCTTTCAGTCATTTATTTATTCCTGTTATCTATTTTGTACTCTGTGTTCGATTATTGCCATTTGTTTTTTATATCCTCGGGTATTCAGGCGTGGGCCTGGCCAACCCGCATCCGAAAATCCGAGGGTATCACAATTTTGGTCTCTCATTTCCTCTCTCTCCCAGCACTCTATCTCTGTCACTCTCCTCCCTTCATTTTTCTTTTCTTTTTACTTTAAAACTTCAAAGTTTGATTATTCTCTAACCATTTGGAATTTTTGGGTGCCATTTGCAGCAAATCAAAGAGCTCGGCGACATCTTCAAGTTGATATAAACAATTTCAGTTTTGGTGCATCCTAGAATTTTCGAAATCTAGGGTTCAAATTGGTGGTTTTCATCAATTTGAGGTAGGAGTTCTCTAATGCATCAAGTTTTACCTTTTAATTTGAGTAAATTCATGATATTCTTGTTGTATGCTTATAATTGCAAACTTTAATATGAAATTAAGAATGTTGGAAATGTCTTACTTATTAAAGCGTGAAGTTGTATGTATATATATATGTTGAGGTTACTTGTAAATGGTTCTTGTACGTGTTTTACTTGAGATGATGATGCCTTGTTGTATTGAAATTCCAAGTAGACTATGTTTTTAATGGGTTATTATAAGTGCTATGATGATATGTTCTTGATATAATGATGAAAGTTATTACATGGCATATCATTGCATAAGGGAAGGATCTTTTGGAAGAAAAATTGAAATGAAAGGTTGATTTTAGAATGTTGAGTTTTCTTTTAAGGAAGGAAAAAGGGGGTTTTCTTTAAAATGAATCGGATATCGCGAGTCTGGGGCTAGCTTTACCTAGAGGGAGCGCGGCCCGGTTTAGGGCATGAAAAAGTTGGTATTAGACCTTTAACGGTTGTCAGGCATTGCCAGAATTGGAATCGGGTCTAGTTATCAATCTCGCCTCGGTAAAGTCAGTTAGTGGGTTTCAAAAAGTGTGGGTTGAGTCGGTATGGACCAGACTTGGGACGGGTGTATCACATTCCATATCATGCATACCATTTGGTGAAATTGTGTTAAGTGTTGGAGTTGCTACTTGCTAAGTTGTTTTTGGTACATGAAGTTCCCTTTGCATGATCCCGACATTGTTTCAGCCCCATTATATGTTGTTTGGCTCAAGGGAGTTTAAGACTAATGCCTTAGGTGATTTCTACTGAGCTTTATGCTCACCCCAATATTTAAACATTTTTTTTCAGGATTAGGAAAAGAGGTGGCAAACGATGTTCCACCACAGGCCTAGCATGGACCATGGGATTATTTTGTTATTTTGTAATTTTGTATCTAAGTTGTATGAAGTCTAGTGAACTTCAACTTGTTGTATTCAGAAATGGGAATCATGAATGCTAGTTGATGTATTTTGTTGCATAGATGGCAACTTGATGTAATTATAATGAACTGCATGTTAATGATTTTGAATGCATGAAAAAGGACATGTAAGTTTTATGTTTTGTCTGTGTGGAAGGTAGTGTACCATTTTGTAGTGTTTTAAAGTGGATTTGGGTCGGTTTCAAGGTCTCCATTGAGACCATTCTTCATTTCCATACACATAGCTGTTTAGTGCAGGTTTTGGAACTCGCATGGCCATTTCAGCAGACCGAAATGGGCACTTCGGTCGGCCAAATATTCCAGTAAGTCCAGTTCCTATAGAGGTCATAATCGGCTGACCGAAATGGCCATTTTGGTCCACCGGTACAGAGGTTATTTCGGCCGGCCGAAGCTCCATTTCTGCCGACCGAAACGCTGCTGCTTTGTGATCTTTATTCCTTCTTTTGATATGTTCTACCCCGAGTTTTTGATTGTTGCTTAATGCCTCTATAGGACGCCATTAGGACTCAAGGGTGATATAAAACTCTAGAAATTTGGTGGAATGACTTGGATGACCTCGGGATCAGGTAAGGACCCGGTTAGTGGTTCGGACCTCTGGGTTCGGGTCGCTGCAATTTTGGTCTAGATTTCTGGCCCTTTTGATTTTTGAGTCTCTGAGTTTCTGGACCCCTTCCTCCTTCCCCATGCCTCTATTTATAGGTTTCTTGGATTAATAGGATGATGACACGTGTCCTTTCTTGATAAGGACAAAATTTTAACTAGGCCGAGCCGGTTATATTGTGATAATTATCCATAAAAATAATTATTCCAAATATATTTTATTATGAATAATTGTCTTTTCATTTAATCATCTGGGCTGGGCTGATTAAATAATTTAAGTGGATCAAACGTAGGCCAATTAAATAACTTAATTAAACATTAGACCCATAATCACTTCTTTGTCAAAACAAAAGTCCATTAAAATTTTAGCATCTACAGATTCCATAATCACTTGTTTGTCTGGTTGAACACTAAAATCCTAAATCTTTCAAATAGAAAGGATAGGTAATACCTCTTAATCTAAGTCTTTAATGGTAATATGATTAACATCATTTTTTTTTTTTTTTTTTAATAGTTGTTGCCTAAATCTTTAATAGTAATTAATAGATTAATAGTAATATGTTGAACACTAAAATCCTAAATGTTTCAAATAAAAAGAAACTTATGAAAACCTCCATTCTACTGCATCTTTCTTACTTAAAAGATCACTAACCAGTCCTGAGCTTTGGAAAGCTTTAAGTGATGTTAAGAAGCAGAAATCAACATTGTAGCAAATTGATTGTTGAAACCCTAGAATTTTAACTATTTGTGATTAATAATAGACATTGAGCCCTAAAAATGTGCCAGAAATTCAATTCATTATAGAAAAGTGAAAATCAAAGGAAAAGGAAAAGAAAAAGACAATGATTAATGGGAGCGACAAGGTACCGGCATGAAGGAAGCTGTGACGCTTCTCAAGAGCCAGTTTCTCTACCATTTTATTGGTTGTTGTTGTTGATGATGTGGTATTAAGAAGTAGAAATCAACAATGCAGCAAATTGATTGTTGCAAATCTTTGGTTTGATTACGAACTGCAAATCTGTGGAGCTTAATCCTTAAGCTAAGCCGGGTGGGCAGACGAAACAGCAACTTCGGGACTGTTTGGTTACTCAGAAAACATGACTCAAAGTCATAACGCTAGTTTAGAGTGCACTATAAAATGCGGCTAGTTTATTGACAATATTTTTCTTGTTTCTGTTTTAATTATTTTATTTTAATTTATATATTTTTTTAACTTAATTTTCTTCAGATAGTTTTCCAACCTATCAGTCACACAAAATATTTTTGTACAATTTTTTAATTTTTAATTCTTGAAAAAAAATTAAAAAATTAATAAGAAAATTAAACTAAACCGATCTTTTATATTTGTGGCCTCCTAAGAAGAGTGCACATACATTGTGCCTTGTATATTTTTCATTTTCTGATAATTTATTTAAGAAATAGCAACAATTATACCATTAATCTATTAATTACTTATTCTATGTTTGGGAATAGAATCGACACTTTAAAATTAAAATTGAAAAAAAAATAGTTTAAAATTATATACTAAATTTCATTCACTTTTAATTTTAAGATGTCAATTTGCTCCATCAAAATTAACTTTAGTAATAGTTAGTAATCACAAAGGAGTCGGAGTATTTAAGAATACCTTTTCTTTATTTTTTAGTAGTTACCATCCTGACTTGCTCACGTAGTATAATAATCCGTTCGAGACATGACACTTCGAAAAGTGGAGTATAATTTTATTTTGTCTTTTATTAGTTGTTGCCAATACTCACATTTGAAATCTCAAGTCTCAACCACTCTCTCTCGAAAAGGACCATACTATTCGGGTTTCAGACTAGAGGTTTGGTAGTTGAGTGTGAATATTTTTTTTTTTTGGAAGAATAATTATATCATTTTTTTTCAAAATATTGTAAGTAACGAATTACAGTGTAAATGAGAAAAATTGAAAGCATACATAATAGTTATATATATATTTTTTTTTTCGGACAAATGAAATTTATTGAAAGAAAGAAAACTACTACTGCAGATACATGTCACACAACAAAGACTAAAGCCCGTTTGGGATGACGTTTGTAGCCATTAAAAGCGCCTTCAATTTGAAAAATAGCGTTCAATAATGTTTGGTACTTTTAGGAGTAGATGTTTAATAAAAAAATGCGTTTCGATAAAACTAAAAATCGGAGTGTTTAAAATTGCGTTTGAGTAAAGTTTGGTATCTAATTTTTTTTTTTTTACAATATAACCCACCTTCACTTTCACAATTACAAAGCTACTAATAAAAAAATCATCAAGACGATGTATAAACAAATAAAAGTATTTAGTTGGTACTCTATCACCTATGATAAGTAAAAGATAATTGGCTCACTAACTAGTTAAGTGTTAATTGAAAATTTTGACTTCTTGTGTTGCTTTGATTGTATGTACCTTTTTGCTTGTGAGCTCATTTCTTTCTCTCTTTAAACACTCCTCTCTCTATAAGGTCCCGTCTCTTTATCTCTCTCTCGACTGCTTTTGGCCACTGGGATCGAACTATTTATCTCTCTCTCGACTGCTTACTTGATGTACTTGACTGACATTTTGGACATCATATGCTTTTGCTGGGCTGATTGAGGGGGAAATTGATGGGTTTGGAAATAACTTTAGGATGGTTAATTGGTAAGTTGTTTTGGTTAACTTTAGAAAAATTATTTTACTTTGTAAAAGATTTTTTTATTTTGGGACCATCAAACACTGAAAAACATAAAAAAATTATTTTTTAAAAATATTTTACCCTCAAACAAATAGAACCGTAGTTTTAGTACAGCCAATTTAACTTTTTACTCTTCAATGCAGTCAGTCTTTCCTGAATATAGTATCTAAGTATGAGTCAGCAACACCAACTCCAACAAAAAGACGAGACATTGAACTCTCCTCAAGTATTCCAGAAGTATTAGTTTTATTAATTCAGATAGACTAACAAACTTGTAATTGCGTATCGATTCTCGTAGTACTAGAATGGAAATGAAACAAGGAAGGTTGCACATTGGGGCATAAAACAGATACATGAAACAAAGAAAATGGAAATGATCTTCTTATGTGGTCAGAAGAATTATTTAACTTGCGAATTGAACGCTCTCCACATGAAGAATCATCGATCTCCTGCGTGTATAATGAGTAGAGGACAATTAATTAGCTCCGTGCATTATTAACTTTCAATTGAAACAACTGATCAGTATGCATACATACAAGTACTATGTTCGTGCATCAATATGGAAGACAGATATATACACACAGTGGACTAGGTTTTAGTTTGATTAATATGAATTTGATTAAAAAATCAAATTATTAATTCATTGCTCATGTCTGAATAAACTCAGATCAAGAGGCTGAATGTAGATTAATAAGAATGAAGTTCATTGATTTAGCAATTGATCGCATTGAGGTCAAATATTGAGATCCAAATATCACTGCTTTTTAAACAATTTATTTATACGACCAATAGATTCAAGCCAAATGCTATGTAGAACTTACAATCTAAATCAATCTCTATGCGACATGATTATGGTCTACAGCTACAAGCCTACTTTGTTTCATGTCAGCAAAACACACACAAACACACACATATACGAGGAAGTTTATGAACCTCATGACTCTTTGATCATCTATCTAGAATAGGCTTACTTGGTATGAAGTTGTGGATAGAGAACTGAATCCAATTCTTTTACTTAAATCAATTATAAGACAGGATATTACCTGTTGATTGGGGTGCATTCATAGTTTTTCATGCTACATGTTTTCCCGTCCCACGAAAAATATCCCTGACTGAATGTAACTCAACTACTACATCAGTAATGTTCATTCTTTCACTGGCCAATTCTGTAGAACAAGCTACCTCGATTTCAAATATTGAAACCAAGCAACCTTGAAATTTTTGGCTTCTTGTGCTTCTTTGATTATTAGTATCGATTGGGCTTGCAAGCTCATCATTTGCATTTTCCTGGAGGAGGACGGGATCTGCAATCTCTTCAACTTTCTCAAACAAAGTGGCCTTGACAAAGTCATGAAGGTTTAAACCATCTCTAAACATGCTGCAATCTCTTCAACTTTCTCAGGCAAAGTGGCCTTGACAAAGTCACGAAGGTTTAAACCATCTCTAAACATGTCATCGGTGGGTCTCTTCCTAGCGAATATTTCGAGAAGGAGGATGCCGAAGCTATATACATCACCCTTTGTTGACACCTCACTTCTCATACCATACTCTGTAATGCACATGATAATTAATTATAAAGGATTTTAATACAAAAATATATAGAAGAAAGAACCCTTTTGTCTACATTCTCTTGGTATGGAAAAATTGGATAAATTAATTTGTCAAGGAGATATTGCTTTTGACTTCCATAGAAAGGATTTATCTCATTCAAATGAAAAGATTGAATTATGATTCTTACATGTACTACTAACAAACAACTAATCAAACACAAAACAAATTTCAGTTTAGCAACCATCATAAGCCAAATGCAAATCCATTCTTAATGAAATCCACAAAAGGACATTTTGAGAAGAATTATTTTAGGGTTTTATCCCCAACAAGAACCATTATCAGTTTGCTCCATTTGTATTGGCATTTGAAACTACAGCTGAGGGTTTTATTGTTGGATTCTTGATAGAGTTCTGTTTTCTCTGCTTCACGTATTTTGCAATTAAATCCATTACATATGAAATGCTCCAAAATAAATAAACAACATGGAAATAGAAAGAATAAGTAAAACAATTAAGAATTGTCGAAAAGTATGCCTACCTGGAGCAGTCTAACCGACAGATCCCCTTACTCCAATCGAGCTTGTATGATTAGCAGCATCATAGGTGGTTGCAGCAAGGAATTTTGCCAACCCAAAGTCACCAACATGTGCAGTCATTTCATCATCTAAAAGAACATTGCTTGGCTTGAGATCACAGTGTACTATTGGTGTCTGGCCTTGATGGTGAAGATAATCTACAGCACAAGCCATATCGATAGCAATATTCAATCTCTGAAGAAAGTTTAACTTCTTGGGCACCTCATGTGTGAAATCTTCAGTTGGATTTGGGTGCAACCACTCCTCTAGACTGCCTTTTTCCATGAACTCATAAACTAAGGCCTTTAAGTCATTACCTTGATGATCAATACTTGAACATGCAGTTATCACCTTCAGAAGATTTCGATGCCTGATGTTTCTCAAAGCCTCACACTCAGCTAAGAAACTCTTGGAAGCCCCATGGTGTGCAAGGTTAAGTACCTTCACGGCAATAATGGATCCATCCTGATCAAGGATTCCTTTATAATCGGACCCAAAACTACCCATAACAATCAAATTGGCTACAGAGAACCTATCAGTAGCTTGAAGGAGACTTTGATAAGACACTTTTAGGAGTGAATTTGCTTGTGAACCTGAAGAGGGAACCTTTTTTGTCTTTCTAGACCAGAAAAAATATAGAACAAACAACAGCAAAATTAGTCCCACAAGCCCGCAAGATATAGTGATTACTAATTTTAAGGAAACAGCTGAACTCTTTTTTCTAGATCCTTTGGATTTGCATACAGGTAGCTTTAGTTCAGGTATACCACCGCATAGCTTACTATTTCCTGTGACTGAAATTGCACTTGCATTCTGAAAGATGCCTTTTCTTGGTACCGTGCCCTCCAAATCATTAAAAGATAGATTCAAATGCTGCAAAACCTCAAATCCCTCCAAATAGTCTGGAATTTCACCAGAGAAGTTGTTCTGCGATAGATCTAAAGTTACAATACCTCTCAAAGATCTCAAAGATGAGGGAATGGTCCCATTAAAAAAAAATTTGTGCAAAAGTAGGATTTCCAATGTTATACAGCTACCAAGAGAGTCAGGAACTTGGCCGAATAACTCATTGTCAGAAACATCCAAGTAACCAATATTTTTCAAATTTCCAACTTCCGTGGGAAGAGAGCCAACTAAGTGGTTTCCGGAAAGGTCTAGACCTATTGATAATGAGGAGAGACCAAAAATCTGTTGTGGTATTGTACCACTGAGGTGGTTTTGACCAAGATGCAATAATAGCAATTGTTGGCATTTCCCAAGACTAGAAGGGATGTTGCCACTGAGATTGTTTTCATTTAACCAAACATTGGTTAAAAAAGTTAAATTTCCAATAGAAGACGGGATATTTCCTGACAACTTGTTTTCTACAAAAGCTAAGTGTTGTAGCTTTTGAAGTCTACCAATGTCATGGGGAATGTTACCTGTAAATTGATTGGCTTTCATATTTAAGATCTCCAGGTTAACAAGATTCAATATACCTGTTGGAATGTCACCAATTATATGATTGTACACTAAAGACAATCTAATAAGCTTAGTTGAGAGATTGCCAATGGACTCGAGCAACTTCCCTCCGAAATTGTTGTCTCCCAGATACAAGGTCTCCAAGCTGGTGGCATTGGTCAAAGAGGATAGATAGCTCAAGTCATCGGCTTCCCCACTTCCAAGCTTATTGGAGTAAACTACAAACCGCTGAAGTTTGCGCAGCTTTTCGAGAGTAGGAACTTTTCCTGTGAGCTTGTTTGCACCAGCCATAAGGAATTCTAGATTTGTTGCATTTGAAATTGAAACAGGAATGGAACCGAAGAATTGGTTCACGGCGAAGGAATTGAAGGTTTGAGATTGTGATGCCAAAGCTCAAGGGAAGGCTCCCTTGAATTTGGTTGCTTGACACATCAATACTCAAGAGAGGAGTGATTAAAAAGTGAAGGAGGGATCTCACCAGAGAACCCATTCCCACCCATTCCCACATCAGTAAGGTTTGACAATCTGCATAGAGCATCCGGAATGCTCCCTACTAAATTATTTATGGTTACATAAAATTCCCGAAGGGATGATAAATTCCCTAAAGTAGGAGGGCTACCTCCCACTAGATTGTTATTATCAGCATAAATTACTTCAAGTTTTGACAAGGAGCCAAGCTCCGCAGGAATTTTACCACCAGACTGTTGCAAAAAACAGAAAAGAAAATAAGGGCAGAGCAACCAGAAATTTTGGCTGGAATTTCACCTTCAATAGAATTATTGTTCAGCCCCAAGTACTGCAGTTTTTTCAATCGACCAACTTCTGGAGGGATGACATGATTGAAGGTATTGTTCTGGAGATCTAGTTTTCTAAGAAAGCTCAAATTTCCTATGTATGGAGAAATAGGTCCCACTGCAACTCCAACATGGTTACTCTCTGGTGTCGGTGACCGCATGTAACACCATGCCACTTACAGAAGTGAACTGACTCGTTCCATGAGCTGAGCGCCTGGAGGGGATCCTTCATTATTTTGGCCTTGAATGCGAGTAATGCGTGTCTGTTTCATTCCCTCCGAGTCTAGAAATAGCCATGGTGACAGGAAAGCCTGAATGCAGCAAGATTATGCAACATAAAATTATAACATAGATGGAAACATTGACAACTGACCTTGACATGATTAAGCCCAAGTTCAGAAGCTCCATTTTAGTTAAGAAGTTGTGATTTCTGATATCATTTTACGCAAACCACACATTTATATATACGAATTGTGGTCAATGAAGTCAACTCTGATGGTAGAATTTTTCAAAAGTATACAATGTAGCCAGATACCCAATGACGATTACAATAATTCATTTTCTTCACTAGCATTGACACAAGTACAACCACTATCAATCTTCAAAGATAAAACACTTAATGGCTCCTTTGGCCAAGAAAGCACTCTCTTGAAGTCTATGGTGATAACAAAAGGGTGTCTAGATTCAGCTTAATCATTTACAAAATCAGCAAAAGTAGAATCACTTGCCACAAATTGACTAATGGAACCATGGAAATTTTGAAAAGGAAGACTGAAGATCCCAAGTGTAGGTGCAAAATTTCACCCAACCAATAATGATTAAGAGAAATAAAACAACTCACTCAACAAACAATAAAAATAAACAAGAACAGTATATAGAGAAGCGTAGAATTGCTTGATCTCTTTATTGGAGGTCTAAGCCTCTATTTATATACAAAAGATTGTAGAATTATGGTAGGACTCGCGTTGCTTGTCCTCCAATTCTTTCTATATAAACATTCTTTACTAATAGAGTTCTTTCCATTGTCTAATTTTCCATGCATAGAACTTGCCTTGTACAGAACTTCTTATCTCAGAATTTTCCTTCTATGGTAAATCCTTCAACTGGTAGGACTTGTGCATTCTTGAATAACTGGGCTGAACATACTTTGATCCGGCTGGGCTTGAATAATGGGCCGGATGTTAAATATTAAAAAGTTGGACTGATGACCTTTTGATTCGGCCTTGATGGAGGTTGGAAGACAGATAACAGTGGTCTTGGGCTAAAAATACACTCAATTTGGGTTTGAGCATGACGGGCCTTTGGCAGATAGATTTACATCTGTGATAACGTGGAATATTCTTATTGGAGGGGATTTTTTCCCTCCACACTTTGCCCCCAATTCCCTTTAGTTTGACGTGACAGTCATAACTAGAGGAAATTGAAAAATTGAGACAGTATGCCTTGAAGGCAGTGACTTATATTTATCTTCTTGGAAAATACGAAGATCCAAAATCAAGGCTTCTGAGGAGGTTGTAGTTGAGGTTCCCCCATGCTCAGAGGTGGCGTCTTATGTTGAGCCTTCTTCTGTTCAAGCTATTGGCGCTTTTATTTTTTCAGATTGACGATGATCACTCTTGGCGATTAGCTTGGGTGACTAGCCTTAATGAATAATGATGGTGATCATTTTTAATGATCATCCTGGAGATCAACATAGTGTTTTTCTTGAACAATTAGCTTCAACTTTCCTGATTAGCATTCCGAGGTAATTTATACCCTCGACACTACTCTGTGCTTCAGAGGATTTGATATGAAAACTTTAACCGTCGATTTCTTTGAGTTCGAGGTAATTTTCATGTCATGTTGTTTTGCGGCACTTTTGTGCCTTAAAGAAACTTTGAGGTACTCGGACTCCTGAGGTCTGAAGGCGAATGTTTATTTCTCGGCCATGAGCCTAAGAAGAACAGTTTTGTACCGGATGCTTGAGGTCCGAAGCGTGTAGTTCCTCGGCCATGAGTCTGAGAGGAACTGTAATGTACCGGACTCTGGAGGTCCGAGGCATGTAGTTCCTCGGCCATAAGCCTGAGAGAAACTGTAATTTACTGGACTCTCGAGGTCTGAGGTACTAAGTTCCTCGGCCATAAGCCTGGGAAGAACTGTAATGTACTAGACTCTGGAGGTCCGAGGTAATAAGTTCCTCGGCTATGAGCTGAGAGAAACTGTAATGTATCGGATTCTCGAGGTCCGAGGTAATAAGTTCCTCGGCTATGAGCTGAGAGGAACTATAATTTATCGGACTCTCGAGATCCGAGGTAATAAGTTCCTCGGCTATGAGCTGAGAGGAACTGTAAAGTATCGGACTCTTGAGGTCCGAGGTACTAAGTTTCTTGGCTATTGGCCTGAGAGGAACTGTAATGTATCGGACTCTTGAGGTCCGAGGTAGTAAGTTCCTCGGCTCTGAACCTGAGAGGAACTGTATTTAGGCCAAATAATCTGGGCTTAAAAAAGAGAGAATATGTTTTCTTTTTTTAATATCCCTTTAGGGCTGCTTATATTGCCCCCATTATGGAAGGTATTGCCCCTATGAAGGAAAGAAAAATATGTCTTGTTTGATGGCGGCGATGTAGATAATTTTCATGTAACTATACGCATCGGCACTCTTTGTGCTTTGGAGGAGTTTAAATGAAAATTTAACCTTCGACGTATTTGAGTTCGAGGTAATTTTCATGTAATTTTTAATCGGCACTGTTTTGTACCTTAGAGAATTTTTTCATGAAAAATTAACTTTAGACGTATTTGAGGTAACTTTCATGAAATTTTATTCCTCGTTGCAGCTCATTATGCGTTAGAGGAATTTTGAAATCCTTGGACTCTTGAAGATGAATTTTATTCCTCGGCAGCTGTGTGTGCTTAGAGGAAGTTTGAAATCTGCGAACTCTTGAGGTCCGAAGATAAATTTTATTCCTCGGCAGCTCTGTGTGCCTTAGAGGAAGTTTGAAATCTACGGACTCTAGAGGTCCGAAGATGAATTTTATTCCTTAGAGGAATTTTGAAATCTGCGGACTCTTGAGGTCCGAAGATAAATTTTATTCCTCGGCAGTTCTGTAGGCCTTAGAGGAAGTTTGAAATTTGCGGACTCTTGAGGTCCGAAGATGAATTTTATTCCTTAGAGGAATTTTGAAATCTGCGGACTCTTGAGGTCCGAAGATAAATTTTATTCCTCGGCAGTTCTGTGTGCCTTAGAGGAAGTTTGAAATCTGCAGACTCTTGAGGTACAAAGATGAATTTTATTCCTCGGCAGCTCTGTGTGCCTTAGAGGAAGTTTGAAATCTGCGGACTCTTGAGATCCGAAGATGAATATTATTCCTTAGAGGAATTTTGAAATCTGCGGACTCTTGAGGTCCGAAGATAACAGTTCTGTGTGCCTTAGAGGAAATTTTGTTTTTTGGTGCCTACGGACTCCTGAGGTCCGAGACTTTGTTGTCCCTCGGCTTTGTGCCTTGAGAGTTTTTGATGCCGTCGAACTCTTGAGGTTCGAGGGTTTTTTTTTTTTTTTTTTTTTTTTTTGCCGTTTTGAGGCCATATATAGCATAGCTGCATAGTTGATCTATTCGCCACTACACTTGGGGATCAATCTGTCTTGCAATGCACAGAAAAGAAATCAACCCAAATATTAATTAGCATACGAATACGGAGTAAATACAAAGTTATTCATAAATAAAGTTACCAGAAGCATGTAAAATGATTACACGTAGCATATAGCAACTGATAAAGGAAAGAAAGAATTTTAAGAACTTCTTATGTATCAGAAATTCTAATTAGCAACAAGTATTTACTCGTTTTTGTTTATCAAGTACATTGAAATTATTCAATGTATGTAATATTTTAGGATTTCGAGCAACAGACAAAATAGTATAACTTGTGCATTCAACAATGCCTTTGGCCTCTGATCTTCATTCAAGTATAAATTTCAGAAGTCAATGTAGAGGATCAAAATCTTCTTTTAGTTGAGTAGTGATGAAGTAGTGCATCTCTCTGAAGAGTCTGAACCAACAATATTAAGTATTGTGGTCCTAAGGTTTTGACCAATTATCAACCTTCAGTGAACAACGAATGGATATAATCTAAAATTTTGATCAAAGTGAATCGTGAGCAAAACAACTAGTGGATAAAACTAAAATTGCAATGCTAAAAATCCTCGATGAGGGAGAGATGGATGAATCCGTAGAGGATTATAATCGAAGAAAAAGAGATTAAAGAATTTGTTGAGTGTTGACAGAGACAGAAATTCAGGTGGTCTCTTTTTTATATTTTACTCAATAGAGTATACTGAATATGCAATTTGAGCCGAGTCATAAATCTTTATGTATAATGAGCATGCGTAAATATATATATATATATATATATATATATATATATATATATATTTAATATGTATTTAATTTTTAATAAAGATTTTTAGCACGAAAAGCTTAATCTTAACTGTAAAATTAAAGTTGGGAAACTTATCTGATTAGAGAGATTCGCGTCTGATAAGGCCTGGGATGTTTGAAATGCCCGGCTGATGAGTCTGCTAAATTTTGTGGCATTGAGCGGCAACCGATCTTTAAAAATTTTCTGAAAGCCTTTATTTCACCGTTAGCCTTGAAAAATGGAATGCTGGGAAGAACTTTGCCGACCTAAGAGCCTGATTTCTTCGGTTCTTGGAAGACCAAGCTATCTCGGAAGACGAAGCTTTGAATGCTCCAAAATGAGTCCCCAATTCAAATCGGCAATATAATTTTTTTTTTCCCGAACTGGGTTACCACAGAACCAGTTCTCAAATAAGGTTACCAAGCGGGTTTAGTTCTGGACTAATCCAAAACTAGAATAGCTTTACATTTGCACCCAAACAGTGACCATTAGGCTATATATATATATATATAAACTGATACAAGTTTGTAATTAACAAAGGAGGCGAGCAAGGAGAAGTTGTGATGGACGGCGGGCTGTTCGGCCTGTGGGCGACGGCTTGACGAGGATGAAGTTGGTCGGCAAGCTCGCGGTAGAGATGGACGGCTGGTGAGGTGAAAACCACCGGCGAGACAGATCTGCGAGCTTGGTGAGGATGCAGCCGGCGCTGATGAGGATAGCCGGCGAGCTTGTGGAAGACGGGTGGTTCGGCTGGGATGAACTCCGGTACGGTCATGAGGAAGCGGCTGTGACTTCTCGTCGGTGCATTCGGCGGACTTGGCTGGTGGTGACGGTCTAGGCCGCTGTGGCAATGGCGGCTTGTACAACTGGGGGTTGTTATGAAAATTGGCCGATCTCAACCTTCGACATGCTTGTGCGAGCCTAAAACCTTATACAAATCGCTATGAAATGACTTCAGAAGGAGTTTTATCAGATCTTATCCATGAATCGATTTCATTTGGATCCCGAATCGGTCTCTGCCCGATCCACCCTTGCCTCCACCCGTTCCAGCACGTCCGATTATGAGAACGATGACACACCTGACGTGAGATCCGGACCGCCAGCGACTCCATCTCAGAGATCGAGCATGTCTCCGACTTTGGATTTGGGGTCCATTGCCGAGTGTATGATCTCCTCATGATTGCCAATTAATCGGCTCTTCAGTCCACCCACATTGTTTCTGCTCTTGATGATGCTCGAAAACATATCAATTCTCTTGTAATGTTAAACTTATCATTAGCATAATTCGAAGTTGATCCAATGTCATGTCACGCAGTCTAGTGCTGTCAAATAATCAAACATTGCTGCCACAAACTTCACAAAAAATGCATAGAAAGTAAGCTTCTGAATTTTAGGCAAATCGCCAAGAATTTCAGTTATATCAATTCTTCCCAACCCTAATCGATTTTCTAATTCTTTGCAGAGTTTTATAAGTTGGGATTCCCAGAAATTGGGGCCAAAAGCAGCAAGAAATTGCCGGAAAAAGTGTTCCAGCTAATTCAAGTTTCTTCAAAAACATGAACTTATTTATTTTTTTTTTCAAAATTATTTTTTCTATTAACCTGATGGTCAAGTTACAGACTCGAGTTCTGAAGATCAACTCGACTTAATAATCTTGAGTTCAGATTAGTATGAACAATAATTATGCATGGATTTGTTGCTCAAGATTATATATATATAATCAAAATTAACAGGAAATCAAAATCAAAACACTTATCTGATTAACTTAAGGCTTTGTGGACTCCGATGGACATCTGATTGCAGGGCAAACACATGTGATGCCTCTTGGGTTTTCCATTCATCAGCTTTGGTACGCATTATTGTCCGAAAGCGTATTCATCAACGTGACTTTTGGCCATGAAAGTCGTTATTGGAGAGGACTTGGGTTCAAATCCTGGACTTGAAGATTTTAATTTCAAGTCACGTTGCTGGATTTGGAGATTTTAATTTGAAGTGTCGTAACTTTGGTGGGGATATATTTCTATACGATTCCCACAGACGGCGCTAAAGTGTAGGTGCAAAATTTCACCCAACCAATAATGATTAAGAGAAATAAAACAACTCACTCAACAAACAATAAAAATAAACAAGAACAGTATATAGAGAAGCGTAGAATTGCTTGATCTCTTTATTGGAGGTCTAAGCCTCCATTTATATACAAAAGATTATAGAATTATGGTAGGACTCGCGTTGCTTGTCCTCCAATTCTTTCTATATAAACATTCTTTACTAATAGAGTTCTTTCCATTGTCTAATTTTCCATGCATAGAACTTGCCTTGTACAGAACTTCTTATCTCAGAATTTTCCTTCTATGGTAAATCCTTCAACTGGTAGGACTTGTGCATTCTTGAATAACTGGGCTGAACATACTTTGATCCGGCTGGGCTTGAATAACGGGCCGGATGTTAAATATTAAAAAGTTGGACTGATGACCTTTTGATTCGGCCTTGATGGAGGTTGGAAGACAGATAACAGTGGTCTTGGGCTAAAAATACACTCAATTTGGGTTTGAGCATGACGGGCCTTTGGCAGATAGATTTACATCTGTGATAACGTGGAATATTCTTATTGGAGGGGATTTTTTCCCTCCACACCAAGGATAAGGAAAAACTAAAGTTCACTGCAACAAATGAGAGCAATTGAAATACAGAAAGGAGCTTAATGAGTAATTGAAAATACAGAAAGGGGTTTGAAAAAAAAAAAAAAATTCTACATTTTCCATTTTCAATATCTAGCACTTATTAGTCTAACCTAACCCACTAATGCAATGACCAAGGCAGCAGTGGAAGAACTTTGTTGTCTAACTTTCTTAATGATTTTGTTTCTTTCAGGCAAATGGTGGAAAATTTTAGAGTCATCACCATTTTGAATAAGAGTAAAATGATTTACCAATAAGAATTTCATAAAAAGAAAATCATATTTCGAATTTTATTGCCCATTTATTAATACACACGTAGAACAGTGGATTCAGTGATTACACAAGCCACAAATGAGAGGATAAGGAGGGTTGCCTTTAATGCCAACTTCGAGGTGGATGTTGCAGGAGAAGAGCTTCGTGGGAACGCCGGGAGGGAGAGTGATGTAGATGTTGATCTCATCGAGGGTTTGATCCCCTACTCGAAAACCCTCTGATCGACTTGAACCAATCAACAATTACTTTTGTAATGTCAAAGTCTCAACAGATAATTGATTGTTCAAACCCGAGAATTTTAACTATTTGGGGTTAATAATAGACATTGAGCCCTAAAAATGAGCCGATAATCCATTCTAGAAAAGTCAAAATCAAAGGAAAAGGAAAAGGAAAAGAAAAATACAGTGATTGATGGAGCGACAAGGTACCGGCATGAAGGAAGCTGTGACGTTTCTCGGGAGCCCAGTTTCTCTGCCATTTTCTTGGTTGTTGTTGTTGATGATGGTTTTGGTCTTTGCAGTTGAAAATCTTTGGTTTGAATACGAACTCCAAAGCTGTAGAGCAGAGGAAACAGCAACTTCGGGACTGCTTGGTTACTGAAAATATGAAAACAATTCTCAACCACTAGAGAAATATAAAAAGCAATTATTTGAAAATATTTTTCTTCTTTCTGTTTTAATACTTTTTTATTTTATTTTATTCAGTATATTTTTTAAAACTTACTCCTAGTTTTCCGAACCTATTAACCACACACAAATGTTTTTGTATAATTTTTTAATGTTTAATTCTTGAAAAATACATATAAAAATATTAATTAGAAAATTAGTAGTTTTTTTTTTATTTTTTTGGTTGGCATCAGGAACTCCTCTAGGTATGGTCCCTTCGGGACCTACCCTAGAGTACAAACTTAGGGATACTGTCCTCAGCACCAATTTCAGTCAGGAAATATAATAGGGATGGACGGACTCGAACTTGGATCATATGGTACCCCAGGTTGTTACTTACCAACTCTACCAAGCCCCTGGGGGCACAACAATTAGTAGGTGTTAGATCTTTTGGTATATATTTTGTTTTTGGTGTTTTTATTTTTGTCAAGTATTGTAACAGTAAACAGTAAAAAAAAAAACGTCGTTTAGTAAAAACTATTTTGTGTTGCACAGTATCAAAACGTTTCATGAATGGTGGTAAAAAATCAAAACACTAATTTAGTGAATTTACATATTTCTGCACTGTAGTGTTTGTTACAATGACATAAATAATTTTTTTTTTTTTTTAAATTCTTAAATGACATTTTAAAACTAATCATTATATTTTCAAACTTGCAATACTTTTTCATTTTTTGCTTCTAAAAATCGTACGACAAATGAATGTCATTAAACATATATTTTTTATTACCATACAAGACATTCAGCAACAAATGTAATAAAAAATATGTAAAACGCGTACCAAACAAGTCCTTAAAGAACAACACATTTCAAAAAGTGGGGTATAATTTTAGTTTTTTATTATTATTATTTTTTAAAATAGTTGTTTCTTCGTTCGAAAAGGACCATGTCCATTATAGAGGTTTAGTAGGTAAGTGTGAATATATTTTTTTGAAGTATAAAAATAATGTAACTGAAAAAAAATGGAAGGCAATAATAATAATAATGTTTTTGGGACAAATGAAATTTATTGAAAGGTAGAGAACTATATTTTTTTTTATTTTTTTGCCATTAAGGAAGAAAACTATATAAAAGATACAAGTCACACAACAAAGACTAAAAAGGCCCTCAGCCCAGGAACAAGAAGAGATAGGCTAAAACCCACAGCTTACTAGGAGAAAGGACCAAGGCCCAAATAAAAAGAGAGGCATAACAAAGAGCCCACTCGAAACAAACCATAAAAATCTTTATCCATGAAAAGTTGCCCATCGGGGCCTAAAACAAATACAGAGTGCATGAAAAGCGAACACAAATGATATCAGTATGCGTACATACATATAAGTACATTAGTGCATGCATATGGATGATATAACATATATAAGCGCACACACACGTGTATGTTATAATAGAAAACTGCACTTTGATAAACATTGGTCGTGCATGGATCTATTTTTGAGTGCACTAATATGAATTTAATTCCAAGATGATTTAATCAATCAGAAATTCTTGTTACGCATTGATTGTAGTGCTGCTAAACAAGTACTGGAAAAAGATGTAAAGAATTTAGTTTCCAAACAGATATTTGCTGGTTTGCAAGCTGATTTATCTGCTTTTGATTTTTCTATTGAATATATTAAAGGCAGTTCTAATTCTTTACCTGATTTTCTCACTCGGGAATTTTTGCAGGGTTCATGAATCCGCCCCCTCATGGGTAGGGCCGGGGTAATACTCCAAAGGCTCGTGGCAAAAACAAGGCTAAGGCCAAAGTGGTTATACCACTTAATGATGATCAATTTCCATAGTTGGAACATGCTGCCGATCTGCTCAACACACCTTCTAAAGGAAGTAGCAGTACACAACAGAAACCAACCATGAAGAGGTTCTTGAACAAGAAACTCCATGGATACCTAATCAGAGGTATATTCAAACAGTATTGGTACTGGATTCTCAAGATGAGCAATGGATGCCAGATCCTTGGGAAGTAAAATCCAGATATTTCCAAACTCAACAATATGTTGCACCAGATGGTCGCCATAGATATATCTATGAAGCTATTCTTACTGAAACTTCCTCTGTGGAGATCAACCACACGAAGCAATTTCCGAATTCCAAAGATAGTCCTCTTACTTATAGTAAAGCTATCTTTAAAAGGCTTATACGGCCTAGTGACTGGGGATTAAATCCCAATTTGCCAAGGAAAATATCCTATGGTCACAGTTACAATTATTGGGATTATATCTCAGCTTGGACATATTCGTTCTTTTATCAAAATCCGAAGCATAAGCATTCTTGGTTCTTCAAGATATGCCCTCAATCAGTTAAGGCTGATTTCCTAAACTGGGTTATACCCTGGTGGGCTATATTTGGCCCTGATCTGGATATATTGCCCGAATCAGTCAGACAATTATACTTGCCATGGCAACAATTTCATCCTCAATTACGGGGATAGGATAATGTTCCTGTAGGGAAATCCACCCTATTGTTCTTTACTGAATTTGGAATCCCTTGGATTTGGAAATGGGATTTCCAATGTGGTTATACCACTGACAAGTTACCAGTCCTTCAGAGGATCTTTTATTACCGATGGTGGTCAGGCATGACTCAAGATCCTATCCAAGCCCTCCTCCATCAGATCAGAAAGAAAACACTGGAATACATGGATAAGATTCCAAAGTTAACTATTCCAGAACCCGAAATCTTTAACCCATTTGAACTTGTTAAAGATATGATCAGAAAACAACAACCATTAATTACCGAAGCTGATTTAATGGTTAAATGCATGGATTTTATGAGGACCAATTTGTTAAATCTTTTGATTCCTCCACACCTACAGTATGAGATGATGCATCCATGGTGTCAGTCTCTAGCCAGACCAGTCAAGAAGGTAATCAGTTTTCCTGTCTAGCTGGTTATGCACAAGATCCCAATGAAGATCTTATTTCTGAAGATGAGCCTACAGTAGCCGACTATTGGGACTCTCTCACCAGTCACTTGATTGACAAGATGAATCCACCTAAAAAGTAAAAGATTCCTCTTATCCTGCCGACTAAAGAAGCCAAAGAACTTTTCCCAAAAGTCTTTGGTTTTACAGTATTTCCTTCATCAGATATCCACTTTTCATCCGATAAGGAGACAGAACTTAGTGGTGGGCCGACCGACTGCATTATTCCAGCACACAATCCCATGCACTATGCGGACTTCAAAATGATAATTTCAAGTCCATTTTATGTATAAATAGAGGGCAAAGTTTCCCTTCAATGTATCTTTCAATTTCCTTTTCTTCCTTCTGTAATATTTCTCTGTACTAGCTTGAAAATTCAATAAAGAAAGTTTTCTGTAAGTCTGTATAAATTTCTTATTCTTGTCTTATAATATTATTGTTTATCTTATTATTTAATTGTTTAATCGATCCTCACTTATTTGGTATCAGAGCCATGATGGCTTAACTCTTTATTGTTAATGCTTTAAGGTCTATATAGTATAAATATTATCGTAATTATGTCATGAACAATATGAATATTATTCTGTCTAACATGAACAAGAAGACATCTTTATACCACCGAAAATGAGTTAAAGATGGACATCTTAGATTCTGTAGAAGCTCACGACTCCGTTCACTATTAGCACCTTCAGGGCCAACAAAATGTTGGATAATAGTGGTGATGAGGGTGTAAACCGCATCAGGAGCAGGTCCTGCTTGTTGAGTAGCTTCATCTTTAACAAGCTTGGTAGCAGAAAAGATTTCAGCTTTCTGAACTTCAGTGAGAACATTATCCCACCATCCTTTAAGGATTCCTGTAAAACCAGCAACGACAAACTTAGCAATAGTTGGGTCAGTGTTGTTGTTGATTTTACAGACTTGACTATACATCAACATTTGATGAATAACCTCGTAAATCTGATAATCAGATTTGCCATCTATGTTCCATTCATTCTGTTGCTCAGTGGGTTGTACCAATCTTTGATTAATTGCTAAGGAGGATACCTCCTTTTGCAAATAATTCAGTTGCTTTTCCTTAAAGATAATGTTATCTTTATTTCACTCCAAGGAATTATCCTCTTTGTGGCAACATTGGATGTGTACATGTTAGTGTCCCATAACGCTGTTACTCCTTTAGAGTCTTTGCGTATCGCATTTGGACACAAATTTTCTCAATTGGCATGATTAAAGCTAAAAAGGGAGTACCCAAAATAACTTGTTGTGCCATATTTCTGATGAGTAAGAAAGTAGATGGTAGACAAATACCTTCTTTACAAATGAAAACATGATTAAGTTTATACTTAATCTGCATCTTACCTCCACTTGCACTGGTAAGACCTTGAGTGGTTTTCTCAAAATATTGAGTAGGACCCAATCCTTCCTGTATGCAGTTCATGTCTGCACCACTATCAACTAAGGCAATTGCATTAGTGATTGTGTACTCCTGATTAATTACCAAATTGATAGATATATACCATTTTTGGTAAGTAACTTGATTCAAGAGTTGAAGATAATTAGTACCTTCTGATTGAGGGACTTCATCCTGGGATGATGAAGGTGTAATTGCAGATTTTGCTTTTAAAAGAGTAATTTCCAAATCCATCTTAGTCTGACGAGACTTTAATTGACGAATTTCTTCTTTTAAAAGATTAATCTCCATTCTGAGATCAGGGAGATTAGCAGGACGTGAACTTTGTCCTTGGTGTTCTAATCTGCTTAGAACTTCTTTCATGCTGTAATGATTTTCTGCTCTCAGAAAATCTGGATTATCCGAATCCTCATTAGATCGTGCCAGAGCAGAACCTATTTCAAAGACTTTCATCTTGATTTGAGGATCCTGGATATGATCTATAAGATCCAATAAGGATTGTTGAGTCGAAGTCAAAACATTTAAGATTAACCCATTCATCTCAACAATGGCCTTATAATAATCATTATGAGAGGGATTACAGGAACATCTAGGATTTCCAATTTCTGCTTCAGAGGAAGAAGAAGAATGTAATTCCATAACAACATCCCCATAATCATCTGATGATTCAGATTCAGAAGAACTGGTATTAAGTAATAATTTACTTAATTGAAGTCTTAGTTCATCTTCGATGTGAAGACTACTGAGTTTCTCCTTAGTTCTGCACTTGTTTGCATAGTGGCCGATACGTCCATATTTGAAACATTTAGCCTCAGCTTTGGGCTTTCCTTTACCCTTTGCTTTAGGAATATATTTCCTTTTAGGCTTAGT